ATAATGATTTTTTGTCTGATCTCCATACGCCTGAGTTTTTGAACAGTATCAAGTGTTCCAGAATACCGAACCATGAGTTGTATTTGAAGATTGGAACTCCAGTCATGTTGTTGCGGAACATGGATCACTCTACGGGTTTGTGTAATGTGACACGATTGGTTGTGACAAAACTATCCACTCATGTTCTTTAGTGTAAGATACTCACAGGAGATCATGCTGGTGATACGGTGTTGATTCCAAGAATGGCCATAACTCCTTCTGATGTTAGAATTCCTTTCAAGTTCTAGCGGCAGCAGTTTTCCATTATGGTTTCTTACGTCATGACTATAAACAAGAGCCATGGACAATCCTTATCTCATGTTGGCTTATTTCTTAAGAAACCAGTGTTCAGTCATGGTCAGTTTTATGTTATTGTCTCCCGTGTCAGTAACCAAAAGGGTTTGAAAATCTTAATTTGTGGCAAAGATGACGTGCCAAAGAATCAAACCAATAATGTTGTATATAGGGAAGTGTTCAATAATATATGATCTTTTAAGTTTAATTATATGTTTATATGTTTATTCTTATGATCATGATCATTTTGGTATTGCACAATTTATATACAAAATATAATTGTAAAAAGCTCACAAGTGATAATATCCCCGTGCATCGCACGGGTGATTACTAATTTGTATTGTAAAGAGAAAAGAGAAATTTGAGTTTCAAATTGAGGAATTTGCACCCACCACCATTCAAAACCATTTATATAACATTTTTACAGCTCAATTAGATTTATTTATAAAATTGCAATTTGAAAGCAAAAATATTACAGATATACTAGCATTGTCAGTTACGGGATTTTCTGGCTTTTAATTAGATCATTAACTTAGAATAAGATATATTCCTACCATATTTAAAACAATCTCCATATATTCCACCATTATCTCACTGCAAAAAACTGGCACAGCCCACGTCTCCATCTTTTCCCCAAGCCCCACTTCGATCCTCCGTCATCGGCGATCACGCTTAGCACTGTCAAACGGGCCGGTGGCCCGCGGGCTGGCCCGTCCGCCCACTTAACGGACGGACTTGGGCCTTTGCTTGGCTTTGTTCAATCGCGGGCCTATTTGGCCCGCGGGCTGGGGCGGGCTGACCCTTTTTTTAAAAAAAAATTATATTTATTAAATTTAGTATTTTTTATTTTACTTCTAATTTCTAACTTGCACATGAAACATTTTTTTTAACATAATAAAATATTAATAAATCAAATAATATTTTATGTTAATTAAGTCGTTCCTGCGCGTGAATACCCTATAACTATTGATAAAAAAAAATAAAAATAAAAATTAGATGACAAATATTTAACATCATTACACATGAAACCTTACTAGTTTATTAATATACTAGTAAATATAAGGATAAACAAACCAAAAAAATATATGAGTGTGAATACCATAAAAAAAATAAATAAAACCCGCGGATGGGCCAATTTGGCCCGCGGGCTAATGCGGGCGGGCCACGGGCTATGGATTTCCCAGCCCGTAGAAATGCGGGCCATTTTAGCCCCCCCCGTTTGAACCGCGGGCTAGCGCGGGCCGGAGCGGGCCGGGCCGGACCGGCCCGTTTGACAGTGCTAAATTCACGGTCCTCTATCGAGGAAGGCCTCGTCCCGATCTTCGATCACACGGCACTGAACAATCAGGTCGTCGACTTGCAGGTCGTGTTCAATAGGTCCATGTTGGGCGCCATTTATTTGCTGGCCACCGGGTTCGTGGATTGGGAATTTCTGGAGCTTTTTAATGGCGTTATTGATGGGAAGGTTATGGCGAGTAGCGCGGGGAAGACGGTACTTGAATTGGATCCGTGCTCTATCATTTATCCTCCGCTGTCGAGGTGAGAAATCGGGAGTCGTTGGCGACTTCAGGCGGCTTGCGGTGGACATCAGCGACTTCAGGCGGCGTGCACCGAAGATGATGCGGCCTTTTTAATCCTGTTTACCCTTTCTTTTGTTTTTTTTTCTTTAACCCTCGTGAACATATGTAGTATATGTTCAGTATATGTACAATATATGTTTAATATATACTTTTTTCTATCTCATCTAACGAAAAACTTCTCAAAGGATAATTGTTGAACACTTAGTGTGCTTAATTTGTTGATAGATAGTTCTATTATGTACATGTTGCGGATATATGTTGTGGGTATATATAGTATATTTTCGGTATATATATCGATATGAAAATTTATATATTTCGAGTATGAAAATTTACACTGTGGGTATATGTTGCGGGTATATACCAAAGTTGCACAACACACATATACATAACATATACGTACAATATGCATAAAATACACAATCGAAATTCACGTAATTCAAGTCCACGATACCGCATATACATAAAATATATTTTAAATATACACTCGAGTTTCAATCGTTTCTCAAAATCGATTTCACAACCCACATATACATAAAATATACCCAAGATATACACTTGAGATATTTTCACGAGCAGATTGTTTCTCACGGGCAGAACCCATATATATATATATATATATAAAATATATCTAAGATATATACCTAAAATATACCTCAAATATACCCAGATATTTTTTTTTTCTTCGTTTCGGTTCAAATTTGATGCTTTCCATGATCAGTCCGAAAATCGTGCGCAAAAAACATGGGATATGATAGAGAAAGAGAATTAACTGATTGTAGGCATGAATACAAATAATCCTTATCTATTAGGTATAATTCCAATTAAAGTATTATTAAAGGCAATGTTGCAATATATCTCAAATCACGTAGGATGGTTAAAAATTTCCTTTTAAAATATTGTATTTATGAGTACAATTAGAGCTGTCAAAATGGGCCGGAAGGCCAGCTTGGCCCATAGCCCGCAAAAAAACACGCCAATTGGAGGGGCAGGGCGGACTTGAGAAATGCAGGCCTAACCCGCTTCCGCCTTGGGCCGCAAGGTTTGTCCGGCCAGGCTCGCTGTTAAAAAAAAATGTTATTTCTTTAATTATCACTAATTAAAAAAAAAAACTGACCCATTGTTGCAAANNNNAAAAAAAAAAAAAAAGGTCCGAGGAGGGGATTAATTCATATGGGCTGTGACGTATCTTATGCATAAGTGGTTAGGGAACATTGGCATGAGACTTCTCATGGGATTGAAAATTAGCAGGAAAGTGATCTCAAGGCTGTATGGAGTTTGGAGAAGGCTTGTGAGCTGAACTTACAAAACCTGGTGTGCTCCATCCCTTCTGAAGAGGTTGCTGCATTGCTGAACAACAAGATTCGTCCTCCTTCGTCTCTAAATGTTGTTCTTAAAGATGTGTATGTTCATTTGGATGTTTGTAAGGTTGCTTGTATTTTTACTTCCTAGTTTGTTTTAGTGTTGGTTGCTTTGTGTTAGGCTTCTTTGCCTTGTTAGGAGTTGGATTTATCCTTCTTCGTGCCACTTGGTTGCCTCGGTTGTGAAGCTCCAAGTAGGCTGTTGTCTTTTGACATCCGATGTACTTTCTCCTTTGAGTTTTATTTAATTTGGTTGTTTGTCGTTGGGAAAAGAATAAATCTCTTTTCTCATTCTTCTGTAGAAAATCATTTTCCTTCATTTCGAACCTTAAAACCCTTTTTTCTTCTCCAGAAATCCATTTTCCTCCTTAAAAAATAATATGGTTCAACTTGTTCATCGACACGGCGATGTCGAGCTTCAACCGAAAATACAAGCGAACTGAAAGTACCTAAAAGTAAATATTTCAATTTTGGTACCCTTGAGGTTGAAAATAATCAGGCCGACTTTGAGCTTTGACGAGAAAATCAACGGCCAAATACGTGGATGGAAGTTGGCGTGGAGGTCTCACACCCGAAGGAAGAGGTCGAAGGCAGTGGTCGGAGGTAGGCAGACGGGATGGAAGTGAGCTTCATTTTTAGGCGTTTCCTTTTCTAATTTGTGAAGGTGGGTATGATGGAATGGCAGGGGCGAAGCCAGCCTCAAATTTCACCAGGGTCGGCAATATTTTTTAGCGGGGTCATTAACCTAGTAAACAGTGTTTGAACAGTATTTTATACTAAAAATTTTGAAATCCATAGGGGTCAGCTGACCCCAGCCACAAGGTGTGGCTCCGCCACTGTGGAATGGAGTGGAGAGACTTTGTTGGTGTGTTTATGATTTTATGACTACATTACATATACATAATACATAAGTATATTAAAAAAAAAAAAATATCGGGTCGGCCTACGATGGCTGACCCGTTTAGGCCCCTTCCCTGGCGAGCCAAGAAAAACAAGGCCCAACCCGTCCCTTTGGCGGGGTGGGACGGGACGAGCTGGTCTGCAGGCTCAGGCTCGTTTTGACAACTCTATGTACAATGCTTGACCATTATAAAGAAACATACATATTTGGTTTAGATTTTAATTGGCAAAATTTCATTTTTAGTCTACGAAACCCTAATTTTTGGGTTTTGTCTGCGAGGCTTGCCATGAGAGTGACGGCGAGAAAAATCAATTTTTTTGGTCCATCCTTAGGAATTTGACAAGTTTACCTTCCACATTGTAATTCATTCGACTCAATTCATATCCACATAAGAAATTGGCCTCCCACTTCAGAAATTAATTCGCCAACGTTGGTATTTTATCAATGCGTCACGAAAAATGTATGAAACTTGATTAAAAAGTAAAAATTGTGAACCTTTATTGAAGACACCCTACATGATATATTCTCTTTGAAAGTGACCAACTTAGTGGACTAAAATGAAATTTCGCCAATTTTAATCTATAGAATGTAGTATATCTTAATTTCAAGGGGTTAAATAATTATATTCTGATAATATAAGGGGCTTTTTCATACCTTCAGATTTTGTTCTGAAGTTGCTTTGCTACTGTAGAACTTGTCTGGTCTGTCTTCATTCATCCCAATTTTCAGGGTAAATTACCCTGTGATGTTTGTTACTCAGTTCTAAGAGTTGAAAAGGGAGTAATCAAAATTTGAGGAGCTGAAAGGAGTTGAATGGTGGGGTCACCAATGGCATCCAATCCCAATTACTCTATCCCCGCGTTCGGAGGTGGGCCTACACCCACCGTCCACCTCGGCCCCACCACCGCCGCCGTCGTGCTCCGCCTGAGCGACGCCCTCCGCCGCCGCTTTCATCTGGGCCTCCTCCTCCGCTCCTCCCTCAAGGTAACCAAAAAGGGGGCACGATTAATTAAACGCGCACCGAACTTGGTGTAAATTGTATGATTTTCTTCTTTTGTCGTTGTAATGAATGAAGTAGGTGGCTTTCTATCTTTTATGTGTTTGTATGTATTTCTGGGCTGATAATGTTTTTTTTTGAAGGAAGTTCATTATTCAAAGATATGAGAATTTCGAGAAACTGTGTGTTTTTACTGAGAATTACTGCAGCGTTCCTACTGGCTTATAATTTAGGTCCATTGTCGATAGTTGCCTCGCCGTCCTACTCGGAATTCGTTCTTGTTTGCAAAATCCAATGAGAATGGGGAAATTGGAAAAAATTGATGGCGCGTTGTGTTGATCAAGAAATGGGCTAGAAAAAATTGACCTTGTGTTGATATTGTTGTCTTCACTTTAATCAAAGAAAGTTTTAACTCGTGCCGTCTGTGTCTCAACAAATTTTAGAAAACTTCAAACGTTGCTCGTTTGTGGCAGTTGCAAGGAAGATATTAACTTTATACGGTTTTGATGCTAGAAACAGTAAATGCATCTGTCCAACAGTTCTTGAGTTCGAGATTTATTTATAAGCTGTGATTAATCATCATGCATTAATTGATATATTGATCTTCCCAATGATTTGTCTTGATGGCGTACCTTGAGCGAAGGTTATGTGTCGTGAGAAGGCCCTCCGAATCACAGGCGTTGATTGTTTCCAATGCTCATTCGGTGCTCTCTCAAATACATTGATGGGCTTTAGTTTTTTCAATGGAGATGAAGGTGTAAATAGGAAAGGTCTCGGGAAGCCACAACCTATATCATCAAGAAGAAACTTATTCGATGGGAGGAAATGGACCCACATCATTCTTGCAGCCAATGTCCTGTGAGTATCATAGCTGGGTTACAGAAGAGTTATGTATTATTGAAACATATGATGTTATAAAATGATAAATGAATAAAATTAGAAAAGGCCATGAAAAGATAGCGTGCTATACAGTGGAAGATTGAAAATTTTCTCTTCAAGAGGGTGTGATTGTATTATTTTTTTACGGAATATGCTATGTCTTTTAATATTTCCATACGTTTTTTGAGCATGCAGAGTATATATAGCACAGTATTTTTCAGATGGCAAGCTATTGTACTGGGGAGCCAAGGTCTGACATTTGACAACTCATCCGACTTCTATATTTACATTTTTTTCATGATGTAAAAAGATCGATATTGAACTTGTTTACCACAATACCTTTCAGATTAATGGTCTCATTAGTAAAGGGCAGCTGTGGAGGCTTGTTACATCGTCCTTCTTGCACGCAAATTTGGGGCACCTGCTGGTTTGATTTTTTAATTTTAGTCAGTAGAAATCATGTTGTTTCCGCGAAAGATCTTGACTATTCACACTGAGAGAACTTATATTTTCGATCTTTTTGCAGATCAATTGCTATTCTTTGAACTCAGTTGGTCCCACTGTTGAGAAGATATGTGGTCCCAAAAGATTTCTAGCGATATACATTACCTCGGCAATCACAAGTAAAGATGAACCACCCCTTACTATACATATTTCCCTTTCATCTCTATATTTATATTATCGTTTAGACATTTATACTATATCTGTCCTTTTTTTGATATAGTTCTTTGGCTTGCATTAGGTTCAGCAATGAGTTATTTTTTATGCAAAGCACCAGCAGTTGGTGCATCAGGAGCCATCTTTGGATTGGTAGTCTCTTCACCTTTCAACTCATTAAACCTTTTTTTTTTTTTTAAAAAAAAAAATGTAACGAAAAATCTAAATTCCTTCTTTAACTGCTTAAATGGTGGTGTGATCAGGTTGGGTCATTTGCTATGTTTGTACTGAGGCACAGGGGTATGGTAAAAGGCACTGAGGCCGATCTAAAACATATTGCTCAAGTGATTGTTTTAAACATGGTATGCCCTATATACCTTTTGGAGGGCTCAAAGTTCAATTATAACTCAACCAACATATGTCCAATCTTTTTCTGTAAAACTTAATGCATGATCGATGATCATTATTTTGTTAACCACATAATATGCTTTTAATTTTTCTCCCGAGCACTTACTTTAAGAGCATTTAAATCATGCTAACAATCTTTATCTCAAACTTCGCAAGCTACTGACTAGTGAAATATGGAACTCTGTCATGCAGACTATTGGGCTGCTATCTCAAGGCATTGACAACTGGGGACATGTAAGCACCGATTGCTAACTCTTTAAAGTCATATTTGCATGTGTATATCAACTGATTTCAAGAAAATCTGCCAAGTAGCTCAAGTACTAATGTACTATTTATTACTTGATTTTACAAATTCTGCTTTTCACATCTGGCTGGCATGGCCACTCTTGTAAATGTTATTGCCTTCACGGGTAGTCTGAATATGAAATCTACGTACACTATAGCAAAGGTCTTTTTAGAATGAAACTTGTTCACCGTTTCTATATTTGAATATTTTACTTACGCATTTTTCTGTACACCGAAAATTTGTTTAGTTTGGAGGGTTGATAGGTGGAGCAGCAGTTTCATGGCTTGTAGGGCCTGCATGGACATTTGAGTCTGTTTCATATGATGGGAGAAAAGTATTTAGGGATAAGGCGCCGATTTTTTCTCTCATCAAAAGACATCCCAAGTAAAGAAAGCAATGAACCTTCAAAGCACATGATTTTTTTCTTTAAATATCTTGTACATTTGATAAAGACTGGGTTTGAGTGTAAGAATTGATGTACTTCATTTGTTTTTGTCCGAGTGAGAGACATGACTTGAAATAGAGCTTGTAACTGCTCATTGAAGATATTTTATGAATTGAGGAAATGCAATCCAAATTTTAGTCAGGTCCTTCAACTCCTTGAGATTTTTCTTTTATTTCTTTAATTAGTATGAAATTCATGAGGGCTGAGTTACCAAATGAGCTTGCTCCAGCATAATAGTGACCCCGCCATCGAATTTCAAGATCTCAAATGAAGAAGGTTCGAAGAGGACAATGTCGAATTGAATTTTTGGAGAAACAGATCAATGAAAGATGTTTTCAGCAAAGGCAAGGCTTCTACATTCATCGTGTAGACTAAACACTCGTATTCGAGTCTTGCAACTTACGGCACAAGCTTGTAAACTGGTTTCGTGATCTTCAAGTATGATTGAACTGTGGCCGAAAATAAGAGGAGCAATATTTCAAAGAAGACAATAAAAATGTAACAAAGAAAGAAAGGAAACAGTAGATAAAGTTCAATATTACTCCTTGCTGTAAGAACTTGAGACATAAACCCTCTTACATAATTAAGAACAAGGCATTTCCACATTAGAACTTCAAGTGTAGACTACACATTCAGATAAAAAAAAAAAA